AACTGAACCAGGCTGTAGAGTGGGTCAAGGGGGTTCTGTGTGCCAAGTTTGGTCTTAATCAGTCATTGTATGAGGGTTGCAGCGGTCTTGGGAAATGAGTGGAGGTACTTCAAGTCCCATCATCTGTAGTCCATCCTCCTCCAAACTGCAGTTGTATGTAGAGTGGGTCATGGGGGCTCTCTGTTCCAAATTTGGTCTTGATCAGTCATTGGATGAGGGTTGCAGCAGTCTCGGGAAATGAGTGGAGGTACTTCAAGTCCCTTCATCCATGGTCCATCCTCCAAACTGAACCATGATGTAGAGTGGGTCATGGGGACTCTGTGTGCCAAGTTTGGTCATTGGATGAGGATCGCAGCGGTCTCGGGAAATGAGTGGAGGTACTTCAAGTCCCATCATCCGTGGTCCATCCTCCAAACTGAACCAGGAAGTAGAGTGAGTCATGGGGACTCTGTGTGCCAAGTTTGGTCATTGGATGAGGATCGCAGCGGTCTCGGGAAATGAGTGGAGGTACTTCAAGTCCCATCATCCATGGTCCATCCTCCAAACTTCACCAGGATGTAGAGTGGGTCATGGGGGCTCTGTGTGCCAAGTTTGGTCTTGATCAATCATTGGATGAGGGTTGCAGCAGTCTCAGAAAGTGAGTGGAGGTACTTCAAGTCCCATCATCTGTGGTCCATCCTCCTCCAAACTGAACCAGGCTGTAGAGGGTCATGGGGGCTCTGTGTGCCAAGTTTGGTCTTGATCGGTCATTGGATGAGGGTCGCAGCAGTCTTGGGAAATGAGTGGAGGTACTTCAAGTCCCATCATCTGTAGTCCATCCTCCTCCAAACTGCAGTTGTATGTAGAGTGGGTCATGGGGGCTCTCTGTGCCAAGTTTGGTCTTTATTGGTAATTGGATGAGTGTCGCTGTGGTCTCAGGTAGTGAGCGAAGGTACTGCAAGTCCCATCATCCATGGTCCATCCTCCTCCAAACAGCACCAGGATGTAGAGCAGGTCATGGCCTGGCTGGGTTTGCACCAAGGCTTGAAGCCGGCACGGGCCAACTTTGGCCCTCCTGGTGTTTTGGACTTCAACTCACACCATTCCTAACAGCCTACCGGCTGTTAGGAATGGTGCGAGTTGAAGTCCAAAACACCTGGAGGGCCAAAGTTGGCCCGTGCCGGCTTTAAGGTTTGCATTGCCTGGTTGCACGGGC